ACATCCAGCCACCATTCTAGAGCCAGACTAATTTTCATCTTCTTTTAAGTTACCCCAGGGCTCCAAACAGCCACTGATACTGAAAATGTAGCCCTGGCCCTGCAACATAACACAGTCAACTAAAGGACAACAGGCACAATTCATCAAAATATACTATAGGGCAAATCACAGCAGCACGAAAGAACACTAAACCTGGGAGCGACAGACACAGAACTCCATCACGGTGAATGTCCCTTCTCAGTACAAGATCAACACACATACCATAAAATACACATTGTCAGGCCACGCTGCCACTAGAACTGTCTTTCTAAAATGTACACCAGATCACACCTTGTTTCTATTTTAAGGCTCTCTGCCCTCTTGATCACAGCACTCAAGGACCTGCACAATCATGTCCTAATTTACTTTTCTGGCCACTGCACACCACTCACCTCCTGCTGTTTGATCAAACCATATCCACACCTGAAAAGTCACTAGTCCACTGTGTTACAGATGATAATGACCCGGATCCTGCCTATAGTACAGTGAAGGCTAATTGGCTGTCCTCCAGATGTTACTAATTCCATGATAAATCAATCGAGAATTTTGAATTGTTTTTCCACTAAAAGTACCTATCACAAAAGGACAGGAAAATGCATATTTACATGCAAGATAAATTAAAGGATGATTGTTTGGCTTAACGAAAAAGTGTTTTAAATAGCAAACTCCCTTAGTGCTTTGTAAATGGGATGTGACTTGCAAAAAGAGGTTCACATATAAAAACTTTAAGCATATATCCAGCCCTTCTGCTGGTGATACTTACCATCAGTATGGCTCACAATATGATAGGGCATGATGTTTAATAAGTTGGCATTTGTCTCTGACTCATTTCGTGGGAAAAAGTATCCATGCCCATGGGAAAAAAGAAAGTGGAAGAGGAAGAATAAAGAGGTGGGAGAAGCATTTTATGATTTGTCAAGACACTAGGACTGGTGCATCAGTATTATTTCATCGTTACTTTAAAGAAAACTGAAAGATCCTCTCCAGTGCTGTGCGACAGGTGGTGCTTCATCCACATCTCCCACCACTGTACTACTCATCTTTAAGCAGGGCCATGAGCTGACCACCACCAGCACACGCTGATCTGTGCTCCGATGCTGCTTGAAGGATGCGGTGTGTGACTACAGAGCACAGCAAGCTGACTGGTTCTCACAGATCAAGGTCAGGACCTTGGCCTTTTATCACTACTATTCTGTAGACTGCCAGCCCAAAATGCATGTTTTGGGAGACAGAGGAAGCCAGGGTTTTAGAGTGTAAGGGTATACAAACACAGAAGTACTGACAAGCAGAAGATCCCAGGTGAAGATACTAATGTATCTAGAGTAAAAACTTTGCACAGTTCATCTGATAGAGGAATTAAAATTATCAGGAGACTAATTTGGAGCTAGCATCAACAATGCTATAGGATGGACCTAGAGTCTGACATACACAGTGAAGTAAGTTCAGAAAGAGAAAAACAAATACCGGATGCTAAGACACATATATGGAATCTAAAAAAACGGTCCTGATGAACCTAGTGGCAGGGCAGGAATAAAGACACAGATGTAGAGAACAGACTTGAGGACACAGCAGGGGAAGGGGAAGCTGGTACAAACTGAGAGAGTAGCACTGACATATAGACACAACCAAATGTAAAACAGAGAGCTAGTGGGAAGCATCCACATAGCACAGCAAGATCAGCTCGGTGCTTTGTGACCACCTAGAGGGGTGGCATAGGGAGGGTGGGAGGGAGGCTCAAGAGGGAGGAGATATGGGGATATATGTATACATATAGCTGATTCACTTTGTTGTACAGCAGAAACTAACACAACATTGTAAAGCAATTATACTCCAATAAAGATAATTTTTAAAACCCCACAATTCTATAAAATACAATTTAAACACTGGAAAATATTTTTCATGATTAACTCATTACAATATATTATGAAACACATGTACATAATAAAACACTCATTATTTTTTAACTCTCATTATTTTTAAGCATTTAGCCAAATGTATTAGAAAAGATTATCAAAACAATAGTACAAATCAGTCATTTCAAAAGGCAAAACCATAAAACAAACTATAGACTAGAAGTGATATTAATTTTGATCAAAAAATTTGCTTGCTATGGGACTTCCCTGGTGGTCCAGTGGTAAAGAATCTGCCTTCCAATGCAGCGGATGCGTGTTCGATCTCTGGTCTGGGAACTAAGATCCCAAGTGCCGCGGGGCAACTAAGCCTGAGTGCCACAACGAGAGAGCTGGCAGGCTGCAAACTACAGAACCCGTGCGCTCTGGAACCTGTGAGCCACAGCTAGAGAGAAGCCTGCGTGCTTCAACAAAGAGCCCACACGCCGCTACAGAAAGATCCCACATGCCAAAACGAAGACCCGATGCAGCCAAAAATAATAATAATAATTTGCTTGCTAAAAAAGTAACAGTTGCACATGTTTACTAAAAATCTTTATCATCTCTGAGTTTAACAAAGTAATAGAAACATTTTTTAGAGGCTTTAGTATGATCTAGGCACTATTCTAAAGAGGTTTACACATATTACCTTGTTTAATTCCCAAAACAACTCTGTGAGGTAAGGAGAATTATCATCCTCAATTTATAGATGAAAAACTGAAGCACAGAGGGTAAGTAATTCACTCAAGGCCATATAACTAGTAAATGATGGAGTTATTTAATTAACTTGAAACCTCATACAGATTATTTTTTTAAGGGAATTCCTTTATTTTTATTTATTTGTTTGTTTGTTTGTTTATGGCTGTGTTGGGTCTTCATTTCTGCGCGAGGGCTTTCTCTAGTTGCGGCAAGTCGGGGCCACCCTTCATCGCAGGGCTCGGGCCCCTCACTATTGCGGCCTCTCTTGTTGCGGAGCACAGCCTCCAGACGCGCAGGCTCAGTAGTTGTGGCTCACGGGCCTAGCTGCTCCGCAGCATGTGGGATCTTCCCAGAACAGGGCTCGAACCCGTGTCCCCTGCATTGGCAGGCAGATTCTCAACCACTGCGCCACCAGAGAAGCCCTCATACAGATTATTGAAGAACGATTACATTTACATAGTATGCCAAGGGAAATACCTTTAAAACTATACAGATACATGCACATTAACCACATTTTTTGTTTGTTTTGTTTTGTTTTGTTTAAATTTCTTTATTTTTGGGGTGCATAGGGTTTTTGTTGCTGGACGCAGGCTCTCTCTAGTTGCGGTGAGTGGGGTCTACTCTTCGTTGCGGTGTGCGGGCTTCTCATTTCGGTGGCTTCTCTTGTTGCAGAGCAAGGGCTCTAGGCGCGCGGCCTTTAGTAGTTGTGGCTCGCGGGCTCTAGAGCGCAGGCTCAGTAGTTGTGGCACACGGGCTTAGTTGCTCCGCGGCATGTGGGATCTTCCCGGACCAGGGCTCGAACCTGTGTTCCCTGCATTGGCAGGCAGATTCTTAAACACTGCGCCACCAGTGAAGTCCTCTTAACCACATTTTAAAAGCATTAATTTTCTGCATGTGGGACTTGATCCAAAGCTAATCACAGATGCACTTGTTTGTACTGATAGTTTGCCTCACAAACTACTTGAGAAAAAATCTTGGTTAATAACAACAACAAAAGAGATACAGCAATTATTTGTTTTATAAAATTATTTGTCATATTACAATATGACTCATTAGAGGTGCCTTTAGGTAGCAAGCTTCCAAATGTTACACAGTGTGCATGCATCAACAATGTAGCTTTCTTTTTGGTAGAGCTGGTTTACCTGAATCAACCATATTGCTAAAGACTGAAATTATAAAGACTGAATTAACTACATACTTTAAAAGCAGCATATATGTTACACAGGGAGAAGCACAGCCATATATGAAAAGCTGACCAAGGGTTAAGATTTTAGGGTCCTTTAACTTGAAATCAACCATGTAAGGGTTATGATTTCTCAGGAAATGAAGACCCAAGGAGAGCTTTTCTTTTAAATATCACAATAGAATAAAGGATCAAGACTATGCCATCAAGTAAAAAGTAATAATTACGTTCTTATTTATATTTATCTGGTCACTTCTAATAGTTCTGAGCTAAATGTTTTTTTGGTTTTCTTAAATTAGTAATATAAGAGTTAATGAAAATAATTAGGCTTTTCCAACATTATGTTCAAATTTAAACTACCCAACATTACGTATGGAAATTCTGCCTCAGGCAATATTTTCTTCTGGTCTGGTATGTATAATCAAGGTGTGATATCTCATTGTAGTTGCTGTTAAAATAGAAGGGGAAATGGGAATTCCCTGGCAGTCCAGTGATTAGGACTCCATACTTCCACTGCAGGGGTTTGATCCCCGGTAAGGGAACTAAGATCCTGCATGTCGCACAGTGTGACAAAAAAAAAAAAAAAAAAAAAAAAAAAAAGAAGGGGACATGGTGTTCAGATGCTCATACTTCCTAGCTATTCGTCCTTTTATCATATATTAGCTGTGGTGTCTTTTGTTGGCATATACGAGTGACATGGCTATAATGAATGCCTAGCAACTAGAAATGAGAGTAGTTTTCATGTGTGGCTAATAAAAAATCACTCTCATTACCCTATGGTCCCACACTCCCCATACAATGCTTTCCCACAACCTTTAGCTCATCACCTTAAGTAGACCACAGGGGATATGGAATGGAAACAATTTATCAGTGATGAATTATATGTAGATGAAAACTTTGTAAAACAATCTACCTTCAGCCTAAGTTAGTTTGTATAATCCCAGGGCCTACTACAGTGCTTGTGTATAGGAGGCATTTAATAAATGTTCATTTGTTAAAAAGTAAAACTATACAGACACCTGTTTGGCATTAAGTTCTATTTCCTGAAGACACGAGGAAATAGATTGCTTTCATCTGGAATATGTACTTACATCAAAACAAGAGCTGACTGAAGTGAACAAACTGATTCAGTGTTTTTAAATAGAAAAAAAAACAAAAGAAGATGACATATTTATAAAGAAGCTGCTTACCTTGCAAACAGAAAGAACATTAACATTTATCAGTTTCTTGATGGTCTGCAAAAGAAATATTGATAATTTTATATAGATTTGATCATGGAAGTAACCATATTAGATACATATGTAAGTGATCCAGAGATGCATTGAAAGTTTCCCCAGATACAATAAAGAACTTGGAAAATGAGAGGAGTTGGGGCAAAGAGGGAGATTTTATTTTACTCTGTGATAGTACTTTTCTACCAAATGCAGCAATTCATACTAATATACAAAATTCAAGGTATATGTACAAGTGAAATGTGCAAGCCAAAAGACATACTAAACCTAAAATAAATATACAGTTTCCCCTCTGCTAACACGGAAAGGAGAAATTATTGAATCTAAGATTTTCAACAATTTTTTTAAATTTACATATTCCTTCAATGATATGCTTTGCTAGCTTTTATTAAAGAATTGTACATGCATCAAGGATATAGCTTTCATTTTGGTAGAGCTAGTTTATCTGAATCAACCATATTGCTTTATATTGATATTAACACATTTATGGTTTTTAAACTGATGTTTAGAATCCTAATACTTAAACAGAGCTGTTTTGATGTAATAAAAGTGATAATAGAAAACTGTAGCTATTATTGAAGCTGGCTCTGTACAAATGAGGTGATAAATATTTTCTCATTCAATCCTTCTAACATCTCTGTAAAGCTGCCTATTTTACAGGCAGGAGAATGGAGACTAAGTATGGTTGGGTCATTCCCCAGGTAACTCAGGTACAGTAGAAGGACCAGGGTGTGAACCTCGGCCGTTAGTTGGACTCTAGTGCTCAGAGCCTGAACGTTATACCATATTGTCTCACACACACCTATGTGCATTCTTTTTGTGACCATAATCTATAAAGAACGACTTACACTGTCCAAGTCAGGAACATCCAAAAAGTATTCCGGATACTCATATGACATTCCCACGTTGTTCACTGAAATAAGACAAGATCATTAGCTGGCTAAAATATACATTTTAGAGATCTATTGAAAAAAAAAGAGATTAAAGATATCAAGACTAAGATGATACATACAATTACATAAAATGCTGTTTATGTCTAGAGTGACCTGTCAAAAATCTACCTGTAGGGACAGTTCAAATGTTTCCTCCTTCATTAAGCCTTTCTATACCCAACCCCTGGCAAAAGGACTTTTTATTTGCCTCTCAATTTCCCTAGCCTCTTGAAGTATGTGTGTATTCTGCCTCTGTAGTACAATTATTTGTAGATATTGCTTAACCCCTCTCTAGATCTTCAATTTTCATAGTGTAGTAGAAAGAGTGGAAAGTACTATTATGTAGGAGACCGGAAACTTGAGTTCTACTTATAACTGTCTCAGAAAATGTATGAATTGGGGTAAGTCATGCATGATACACATCTCAGTTTCTTTACCTCTTAAATGAGAGTTCATTTAATCATTCAACAAAATTTACCATTCATCTATGTGCAAGACATGTCAGGAACTAGAAAAACCATAAAGAAAAAGGCAGTTTCTGGCATCATGGAGCAAACTATCCAGTAGGAAGAGAAAGGCACTAAACAAAAAGGATTAAAACAATTATTTCATTGCAAAGTACAGAGTGCTATGGGAGCCTGTCCCAGACCTCATCTGGGATATGCGGGAAGGCTTGAAGTTCACAGTGGTTAAGTAACTTGTGCACCGTCATAGAGCAAAGTAAGGCTAGGGTTCAAACTCAGGAAATTTGACTTCAGAGGCTAGGCTCTTAACCACTACTTTAAAGCCATCCTATGCCTTCATTCAGTATTCAGTTCAGGAAAAACTGTGAGTAATAATTGCATAATAAACAGAAATATGGCAGCAATGTTTAATAAAACTGTAGAGCATCAGAAAGGAAAGGTTTCAGCAGCAAAAAGATAATGAAATTCTGGTCGTTCTGCTCAAGCTTATAAGGAATTGGGCCTGATAAACCTGATAGTAGTAACTTTTTCAATAGACTAACAAAATTAGCAGTTCAAAGCAATAAGAGTTCTATATTTAGCAGTAAGTCAGTCACTTCAGGCTGTGAGTCTCAAGATTTTACTGGTACAATTCGGTCAGGATGGCTTGAACAAGATCACTGAAACCTGTCTGAAAAGTCTGTAGGCAAAGGACAGTAGCAAAGCAAACTGTATTTAATTCAGATTCTTGCCCATCTGAATAGGGATGGTATCTAAACAAAAAAATAATAGCAGGTTCAAATCCATTTTTATTTTTATTTTATTCAAAAGGTTCTCCACCCACCAGAAGTCTAGGAATCAATTCTATAAAAGATCTGTTAACAATTAAGCCAAAACTAGTTGAAGGTGAGGGTTTATGTTCATTCAACTTTGTCTTAACCATCTACTGAATTATAAAGGATGAATGTCTTACTTACAATGTTACTAAGAGAAACAGCAACAACCAAAATATCTGTTAAAACACTATCCATAAACAAAATATTCTTTACAAAGTCAGTTTAAGATTACAGAATCCTCAAGGAAAGGTTTTTTCCAAATTGTAACATTCTTCATGATTTCAAGAAAATGCTGCCGGGGACTTCTCTGGTGGTCCAGTGGCTAAGACTCCACACTCCCAAAGCAGGGGGCCCGGGTTCGATCCCTGGTCAGGTAACTACATCCCACATGCCGCAACTAAAAGATCCTGCATGCCGCAACTAAAAGATCCCACGTACCACAACTAAGACTCAGCGCAGCCAAATAAACATTTTTAAAAAATAAAATAAAGAAAATGCTGTTACATACGGCAAACTCCATCTCTTTTCACTCTCCTGTATCTAGAAAACCTTCTATCTTCAGATCTCTTTCTAGCCCATGGAAATACTAATGCTCTATTTCAAAACTGTAAAGAAAACTGAATAGTGTAATTATAAATATTTAAAGTCCAGATACGGATTAAAGAAAAAAATCCAGGAACTTTGTAAGCAGCACAGTTAACTCTGCAACTTCTGTTACAAGGCCAAAGCCAAGGTAAAGAAGCCCACACATAACTAAGCAAGCAAGGAAGTGTTACTCTGGGTAAGGCTGTATTTACAACAGAAAATCTTCAGATCTGTCTCTGCTAACCGAGCAAAGGAAAGCCATCAAAGCTATCTACTCATACAGTGAAAACGTGATCATCTAACACAACTCTAAAAGAAAACACAGTCAACACTGAGAACGTTAACCCAAAGGAATAAACAGCATCATGTATAACGGTTATACTTTTATAACCAAAAATACACACAGAAAAGAAAAAGGTGTTAAACCTGGAACAGCTCTTTCAGAGCACTGAGCCTAATTTTATGAAGGGAAGTACACGTCAAGGTCACACTGGCAAGTTGTCCTTTACTAGGGACTACGACTCTTAAATCCCTTCCTGCTTTATTAGTTGCACATTTTGCTAGTGGAATATATGCTACCCATATTGTCTTCACAATAAGTAATCACTTCAGGGTGCTATTACTTAAGAGTTAAAGAAAAACAACTGTTGCTCTCAAACAGTTATTTCCATAAATTGCACAATAATGTGAATCTTTTGGAAAAGGCAAACTCATTGCAATTTTATTTTGAGACATTAGGTGGCAGCAACAGCCAAACAGCAGGCAGAAAGCTTTCAAGGACTTGGAAAAGGAAGAAAACAGGCTTTGGGTAGGAGGGAAGGATGGAAATATTTCCATTATAATTTAATCTCATTTAGAATGGGTGCATGCAATGCCATCTTCTTATATTAGAGGATTCATTATAGGATTCATGAAACCAAACAATGCCACAAGTTGTTCCAACATTTTTCAGATAGTTGAAAATCCCTCTTAAATGGTAGCATTTTAAATTGGCATTAAATATCTGTTCATTAGTGAGTTTTCTTGAATACTTCAAGTGAGGCACCAGAGAGACAGACTGAACATTTTCTGTTCAATGACATGAAAAAGCCTTTTAACTCGTGTAACACACCATGTCTTTCAGAAAACGAGGTATGTCCATATAATCTCAGAGTTCCAACCACCACAGGACCATGAATATATAAATTACTTCCCATCAGTTTCTCAGTGGAGTTCCAAGATCGGGAGGAGCTCAACAGAAGAGATGAGGCAGATGGAGAACAGAGGTGAAGACAGACCAAGAACAACGACAGGTAAGCGGGAAGAAGAAGGTGGCGAGATCCTCGCAGGGAGGAACCGTCAGTGCGCCGTGTCCAGCAGTGCTCTCCACGTTCGCCATCCAGAACTTTGTAAAACACCAATACTGATACGTATAGTACTTTAAACTCAGAAAATACACAGAGAATTTCTGAATGTTATATATATAAATATTCTAAACTGCATCATACTACTGTTTAAAAATCACTTCCACACCTCACACTTTTTAAAAATGACAAGAACATACACAAGATTTGTTTCTTCTAAATTCATTTGCCGCTGCTTCTGACCTCACTGGACTTAGAATCCTTTATCAAAACCAGCTGCTATAGAGATAATGATGTCATTAGGAAATTAGATTTTTGGTATCTGGGTTGGGCATGCGGGAGGAGCAAATGACAATAAATTAGTAGAGAATAAAAGTCCATCTGAACAAACACAATAATAACAGATATGGGTAACCACACAGAGACCACCTTCAACCTGCTACCTTTTCCTGATTAATCAGACATAACAAATCAAGGTGGTTTAAAAATACATTGCCTACAAACACATGAAAGGATGCTCAACAGCACTAATCATTAGAGAAAGGCAAATCAAAACTGCAATGAGGTATCACCTCACACCAGTGAGAATGGCCAGCATCAAAAAATCTACAAACAATAAATGCTGGAGAGGGTGTGGAGAAAACGGAACCTTCTTGCACTGTTGGTGGAAATATAAATTGATACAGCCACTATGGAGAACAGTATGGAGGTTCCTTAAAAAACTAAAAATAGGGGCTTCCCTGGTGGCGCAGTGGTTGAGAGTCCGCCGGCTGATGCAGGGGACGCAGGTTCATGCCCCAGCGCAGGAAGATCCCACATGCCGCGGAGCAGCTGGGCCCGTGAGCCATGGCCGCTGAGCCTGCGCGTCCGGAGCGCCTGTGCTCTGCAACGGGAGAGGCCACAGCAGTGAGAGGCCCGCGTACCGCAACAACAACAACAACAACAAAAAGAAACTAAAAATAGGGCTTCCCTGGTGGCGCAGTGGTTGAGAGTCCGCCTGCCAATGCAGAGGACACGGGTTCGTGCCCTGGTCAGGGAAGATCCCACATGCCACGGAGCAGCTGGGCCCGTGAGCCATGGCCGCTGAGCCTGTGCGTCCAGAGCCTGTGCTCCACAACAGGAGAGGCCACAACAGTGAGAGGCCCACGTACAGCAAAATAAAATAAAATAAAATAAAATAAAATAAAATAAATAAATAAATAAATAAATATAGAGCTACCATACGACCCAGCAATCCCACTACTGGGCATATACCCTGAGAAAACCATAATTCAAAAAGAGTTATGTACCACAATGTTCATTGCAGCTCTATTTACAATAGCCAGGGCATGGAAGCAACCTAAGTGTCCATCAACGGATAAATGGATAAAGAAGATGTGGCACATATATACAATGGAATATTACTCAGCCATAAAAAGAAACGAAATTGAGTTATTTGTAGTGATGTGGATGGACCTAGAGACTATCATACAGAGTGAAGTAAGGCAGAAAGAGAAAAACAAATACCATATGCTAACACATATATATGGAATCTAAAAAACAAAAAGGGTTCTGAAGAACCTAGAGGCACGACAGGTATAAAGACGCAGACGTAGAGAATGCACTTGAGGACACGGGGAGGGGGAACGGTAAGCTGGGACGAAATGAGAGAGTGGCATGGACATATATATTCTACCAAATGTAAAACAGATAGCTAGTGGGAAGCAGCCGCATAACACAGGGAGATCAGCTCCTGCTTTGTGACCACCTAGGGGGTGGGATAGGGAGGGTGGGA